ATCCTATCACCTTTTCATCTGACTTCACCTTCCATTTTCTCAATCCTCATCCCTATTTCTATTTTTTATCTTCTCTTCTTCGTTTCCTCATCTTCATTACTCTTCTAACATTCTTTCTTTCTAGACTTTACTGCTTTCTGACTCTTTTCTGAAAATGTCTTAATGGGTTAAGACCTCCCCTGGACATAGGGAAACACTATCCTTTCCTGTCAGTATATGGGCTCTGGCCTAAACCCTGTTTCAATGTTTATTTAACTTGCAGTTCATAAAACTTTTCTGTTGATTTCCCAGTGCTACATACCATATGATATCTCCCTTCAAGGGACATCTGACTTGGTTGACTCAAGATACTGTTCTTTCAAGGGCAATGTGTTATGGGACAATGTACTCTAGTAGCTACCACTGCAGATGGAGACTTTCTGTCATCCAGTCACATCACCTCCGCATATACAGCAGCTAAGTGGGTTTAAAGCGGCACTATCATGCCGAACTTACCTGGGCGGTGGCGGTGGGTGGGGGCCATAAAGATAATGAGGGGGGACCTACTGTCCTCCCACCACCAGCCCCTACCCCTGCGCGGTGGGTGGGGCCATAAATTATAATCGGGGGACCTACTGTACTCCCCCCCGGCCCCCACCCTTGAGCGGTGGGTGGGGGCCATAAAGATAATGAGGGGGGACCTACTGTCCTCCCCGGCCCCCACCCACACCCAAATTCCAAAGAACTTTCCCACGCTGTGTAAAATAACACAAAGCACTCTGATTGGATGGATTTCAAGCCACCGAATCAGAGTGCTCTGTGTCATTTTACACAGCGTGGGAAAGTTCTTTGGAATTTTCCCACGCTGTGTAAAATGACAAAGAGCACTCTGATTGGCTTAAACAAGCCAATCAGAGTGTTCTTAGCCTAATTGCAGGGCGGGGCAAGGCTTTATAAGCCTTGCCCCGCCCTGCAGAGCTCAGTCTGCGTGGAGCCCTCCTGGGTGAAGATGGATTTATTTTTTTTGCGCTCAGGTTTTTGACCGAGCAGGCTGTAGGAAAATCTCAGACATATTCCCACATCCACTAGACAAACCCTTTATTCCTTACTCCTTCCTACCCCCACCTCTCAATACAAGTTGAATTGCACCCTCACGGACAAGGGATGACTCCCCTATAGGGTAAAACACCAACTTTATGTGACACACAGAGAACGAAAGTGGAAATGGGACAGCCGAATACTGAATGTCTGAAATAAGCCACTTATCCCTTCCCAGACCAAACAAGATGTATTACCCTAAATAGGGGGAATATGCCCCAGACTGGGTGATGTATCTCAGATCACACGGCAGGGAGACGAACGGTTAAGACACATGGAAACAGTAACACAATTCACAATACCACATACCTCAAACTTGATTACAGAATTCAAACAAATGATACCTAGGCCCTGTGCAGCCATCTGATGTATGTTTACCATAATGTCTCGCTGAAACTGGCAAGCCTATTTTAAACCAACACGAGCACTATTAGATGAGCGGATGTGAGGAAGGCTGAACTTGATGGACGCAAGTCTCTTTTCAGCTATGTAACTATGTAACTATGGATCCGCGCGTCCATAGTCTGTATATTCCTATGCTTGAAAAACAAAAAACAAAATTAGACGTAAAGTAGGAAGCTTCATATCAAATTCAGACAGATAGGTCAAATTGAAAGCTGCTCTCAATATGTAATGGTGTCACACAAATTTGTACTTGTATGCTTTGTGTTTACTTTATTTTGAGACCTGCGTGTCTCATCCCCTATTACTCTTTTGGAGCTCTGCGTATTTCGATCTTTCAATCGTTATTTCTTATATCTGAAACCTGTGTGTTTCTTTATACTCACCACCTATACTCTCTCTGAAAATCTGTAAATACTTCAATAAAAAGGTATTTACAAAAAAAAAGACCCCCCACCCTTCAACAGCAAATTCAGGAGACTTTTGATGGCTTTTAGTTTTAGTCTTGTTTATTTGTTGTGGTTTGATGGGAAAGAACAAGCATAAAAGATCCAAGTAGAGCATTAGAAGTCAACAAGACTTTTCATAACATGTCAAATGCTCCAAATTACCTCACCCTTAGAAACAATATATGTCCCTTCACCTCTGAAAAAATTCAGGAAGCTATTAATTTGTCTGTCTACTGGTATAATAAAAATAAAATAACTAGAATAGATCATCCATTAAGATCAATATTTATTTTGTACACCAATTTGAAAGCTTTTATTTTTATTAGAACTAGGGAATAGGTACACCAACAGGCTTCTCGATAAAACCTAGCTAAATCGACATGGTTGTTTCCCTCTAAGCTTTCTAGCTAAAAAGGAGGTTATATGAAGGCGGACATGAGCAGCATGGAAGTTCAGGAAAGGAATTTATGTCACACGGTGAACAGTAGAGGTAGCAGAGAGTCTGGTAACCAGCAGCCTTTACCAGGAATTTCAGCAATAAGGCAATGGAATGGTTTAATGTAGAAGATCAACTGAGGTAAAGTCCATGACTCTTTAGACTCTTTAGAATGCGTTATTATAGCAATAAAGATACAATGTCCTTTGCTTGTGAGTGGAGCACTTGGAACAAAAGCCTATATGAGTAAGGCAATGGCTGAGTGGATGATTTGAGAACATGATCATGACTTGTGAGTTGGAGTCTGATACTGGAGTTGATATGAGGCTCAGGGATAATCCGAGAGAATAGTAAGGTAGTCTATCCAAGATCAGAAGCCAGGTGGACAGCAGGCATGAAGAGGTGATCCGAGAGAGAGGTCAGGAATGAAAGGATTAGAAGCCAACACAAGTTGACAAAAACAATCTGAGAGGGTAGTCAGGAACATAAACCGAAGTCTGAAGTCAATAATGAACAGAGTAATTGGACAGGCAATAAGGCAACACAGTTACACATAGCAAGGCAGGGAACTCAACAAAGACAACAGTAATGTTTAAATAGCCATTAAACACACAATCATTATAACACTGATCAAGGAACAAGACATTAAGTTAACCTTGATTAAAACATTTTGACAACATAATCAAGGCTTATGGCTAAATACAAATCTCAATAAACCCCAACAAAATATTGGAAACCACATATGAGAAATAAAAGCAGATGGTGAAAGAAGGAGAAAAAAAGAGAGAAATTGAAGGTGGGTAGAGAAATTAAGTTTCTGTGCCACCCAGAGAGGGACATGTGAAATAAATCTAAGATTAAAAAAAAGCTTTGGTGTTTATATTCTGGCTTTCTGCAATTGATTTGTCTTCTACACTTTGCTTTTTATGCATTTATTATGTGCAGTGCTGTAGGTAAGTTAATAATAAGATATAATTAGATCTGCACATTTCTAGATTTAGCACGCTTCAGAAATGTTTAATAGTATGTTGAAGAAGACTCAACAAATGAGAAAGAAAAGTAAGACTTTTTTTCTTTTTCTTTTTTTTTACTGAGCAGAATTTAATCCCCAGCGTAAAAATGGGTATTCTTTATTACACTTCTTTAAGTGTTTATCCACAAAATGAAGTGGAAAATTAGGTAGCAAAATGCTTCGGAGCGGTTCATCGCTGTCTTCAGGCAACTTGTGCAGGAACATGAAATCAGAACTCCGTGAATTCTTCTGAAAATCCAGTTTGACACAATTATACTTTTTTCCTGGCACCCGATGCCTGTGAACGGTATCTTATGTTTATCCCCCAATTTCCACAATAATAATGCCAGGAATAGCAGGCTGGCGTCATTCCCTTTGCAGAGTCGCGGCCATAAAGATGTGCAGAAAAAGCAGAGCCAGCAGATTCAAAAACCTCAAACAGCTTTACAGACAGGTCAGCAAAAAATGACTTACAGAAACAGCAGCAAAGTGAGAGTATGGTTTATCATTCCACTGTAGTAACATTTACTGGTTCTGTCGGTTAAAAGGTTTTTGCCGTTGAGGTGAAATATTCAGGCCTAGAAACGCAGCTACTTAAGTGTGCGGTTATGCATTTAACATTCATGGGGAAAAAAATCTTTTATTTACTTTCTGTTATGACTTTATTTTAAAATGGTGCTTATTTATGGTGAAATGCCAAGTTACTTAATTTGTCAAAAAGGAGATTTAAGAAAATATTTTGTTTTAAAGTGACCCTGACCCCTATATAATGCAAGTAAATATAACTGTATACAAGTTTAATATATTTAAATAGATTCAAAAAATATGAAAAAACAATGTTACATAGATTTCTTAGACATATTTTCTTACTTACAGAGATGTTTAGTGTTCATTTTAATACTGTTATAGTTTATGTGATTCAATACCGCTCAAGACAATGTTGGAGAGCACATACTGTATATACTCGAGTATAAGTCGAGTTTTTCAGCACATTTTTTGTGCTGAAAAAGCCCCACTCGACTTATACTCGAGTCAAGGTATGTATTATGCCAACTTATATTGCCATAATACAGACCAGGACCGCCGGGCTCATTACAAGCCCAGCGGTCCTGTTGGGGACTGACAACAAGCTGTTACATACCTTTGTAGCATCTCCGGTCAGCTCCCTTCACCTCCGTGCACCTCCCCTTCAGCTCCCAGTGTAAATCTCGCGACACCAACGGAAGTCAGAGCATTGCCACGGGCATGCAGACCGCGAGATTTACATTGGGAGCTGACAGGGAAGCTGTACGGAGGTGAAGGGAGCTGACCAGAGATGCTACAAAGGTATGTAACAGCTTGCTGCTGGTTCCCCCATGCCACTGGACCACCAGGGATTAACCAGGTAACAAGCAGGGAGGGGGAACAAAAATAAATATTAAATAATAAAATAAAAATAAAAAATAATAATATTAAAATTCAAAAATTTAAATATTTAAAAATAACAAAAATAATAAAAATGCCCTCCCCCCCCACCCAGTTCACACACACTACACAAACACACACACCCACACTCTACATTCACACAAACACACACACTCTGCATTATATACACACATAGTGTGTGTGTATATAATGCAGGGTGTGTGTTTGTATGAGTGTGTGTGTGTATATAATGCAGGGTGTGTGCATTATATACACACACACTCATACAAACACACACTCTGCATTATATACACACACACTCATAAAAAAACACACACTCTGCATTATATACACACACACTCTGCATTATATACACACACTCATACAAACACACACTCTGCATTATATACACACACACACACACTGCATTATATACAGGATTATGTTCCAGGATCTTACCTAGGTAAAATCTGGCAAAATTATAAACATCACAGAATTTCGTAGCCCCAAGTTTTACCCTCGACTTATCCATGAGGCATAGCATATTTCACAATTGTTGGTCACAAAACTGCACTCGACTTATACACGAGATCGACTTATACACGAGTATATATACGGTAATAGTTTGGAATGTGAGAGTTATTCTCATTAAAACACTTATCAGAAAAAAAAGAAAACATGCTATATATTTCTGTATTTAAAGCAAAATGTTAATGTTTAAAATTTCCAAGTTATTTTACAAGTTATAGATAACAGAACAGGGGAGGTACTTTAGAGTACAGAGTGGTGAGAGTTTAATTTCCATCTATGTCCCATGTTTCAAATTCATGTGTGCATTGAATCAGTTTCTCTAGATAAAGAAAACTTTAGATATAAATATGTAAATCTACTGTGAGTGATGTAAATTATGTAATATGTAGAAGATGGTTGGCACCCTGAGAATTATAAATTATAAGTGCAATTCATATACTATAATTTTTTTCAAGTAACGTATCTCTCTTCCTTAGGCCCAAACCCTCATCCATCCCTCCAACAAGAAGTCCATTTATTTTACTCTGCTCTACCCACCCACCCTGGTTCCTTCTAAACATATAGCATGCACCTCCAGCTATTTGAAACCACAGCCAATCACCTCCTTATTAGCTGTCAGCTGCTGCAGTTATGCTATCTCTGCCATCACATACAAATCCCTCTGCTACCTCTCGTCTCATCTCCCCATTTTAACCTTTAGATTGTAAGCTCACATATTAGCCATACTACACTCCCCCCACATTTACACATGTCCCTTTATCCAGCTAGCTGTGCCCGCCTCCTCAGGTTCTGTAGCAGTGAACATTCTGATTGTTCACACTAATGCCCTGAAACTGACAAAACAATTAGCTTTCATCAAGTTCAATCTCTATAATTTAGGTTATCCGGCAGCTTATTGCATGAGTGTCAGGATTACTAGTTGATCCAGCATGTAGGATTGTGTCACACAGAGGACTAATAGGTAACGTATTAGAATGGCCGGACTTAACACACCAAAGAATAGCCAGAATACTTGCCGAGGTCAGGGGACACAGAACGAGACACAACGATGAGGGAAATCCAGAAGTCAGGAATACTAGAATACAGGGAAATCAAACAAAGCCAAAGTAAAAAAACAGAAAATAAACGCTCAGGAACACACTCT